TTTGGGCATTCCAGGAAAACCCTCTGAGGTGAGGTTATTTACATCTTACAGATAAGAAAACAAGGTCAAAGACTGTGAAGCCAGAAAATGCCAAAGCCAGGTATCTCCGCCCCAGGCCTGCTTTCTCTTAAGTCCCACTGCCTGAGAGCACCTGGCTAGGTCACTTACACTGGCACCTTTTCATAGTGGAATTCATTCCTCTGTTCAACAAGCATTTGACAGTGTGCTAAGTTAGCACTGTGCTAGGGGCTAGGGAGACAAACTGTGAAAATGTATGCAGTGGGGGCAGAGCCAAGATGGCAGAGTAAAAGCAGTGACTTGCTTGAGCTTTCCCCCAAACCCCTGGCTAGGCAGTGGGGTTAAGTGATTTGCTCAGGGTCACACAGCTAGTAAGTGTTATGTATCCGAGACTGGATTTGAATTCAGATCCTCCTGACTCCAGAGCTGGTGCTTTATGCACTGCACCACCAGCTAGCTGCCTCTTGACAGTGGACTCTTGACGAGCAAGTGTTGGCAGGCTAGCATGTCAGGTGTTGTCGGGAAGTCCAGCATGTGTGGGCAGGAATATATGCATGTAAATGATTGGTTTATAATATGATGCTGTATGGTTACATGATGCAATATTGTGATATCAAAATTTCAATGCAGGGAAAAAACCACAAATTTACAATTATTAAATTTAAGATGTGTCATTTTAAAAAATATATATATTTTTTGAAATGATGCAAATTTCAAAAACCATTAAAGGGTTAAAGAAAGATTTCCAGGGATGGTGCTGAGTAACTTTTTTGAAAAGGGGGCGGTAGGCCAAATAAGTTTGGGAACCTCTGGAAGGTCTCAGAGGGCCCTCCCAGCTCTAACCCTTTCATCCTATTATCCAGCCTGCTACAGTTCAAGTAGGATTGGTAAGAGACATTTTTGAATGGGAATAGGGATGTTTCAAATGTTCAAAGGGTTTTAACAGATTTTTTTTCTCCTCTAAGAAAATATACCTACATAATTATTTTGCCAACTACATTTTGGGGAAATATTTTATTAATGCTCTTTAAAAAACAAAACATTTTTTCCCAGTGATTCCCACCCCCCATAGAACTCTCCCTTATAAGCATAGTTCAGCAAACCAAATACATACACTTGCCACATTTCCCTCTATACATTATATTTACATGATTCTCCTTTCTTTTTATCCCAGAGCAGGATATAATGTCTGTAAAGTGCTTCTCACCAACCAGACATTGCTATATATAGATGCTGGTTGTTATGAGTTGCCCAGAAGGACCCAACACAGCCTAAATTCATTGCCGTGTCCCATTTACCCCCCCTAGACTGGATTTGGCTCTAATGGGTTGGGGGGACGTACAGCCCCTGGCTGACCAGGCAGCTTCATGCTCAGGTTGAGCACAGAGTATGTGTGTCTCTTGCTGTTCCCATATCTGCACAGAGGGGACCACCATATTCCCCTTGGCGCAGAAGTCACTTGACTCCCACATGTCTTTGCTTCACTTTTATTCAGTGATACCCATAAGCATATGTGCTCCATGGCTGGCTGGTCCTAGGAAGGGGTTAGATGTGGCTGCATTTGACCCCTGATAAGTGTCAATTCAGTTCACCTGGGATGTATGTTTCCTGGACCTGCATAATCACATGCCAACCCTAGGCACCATATTTGTGGCAGCACCAAGACCATTCTGGTCCCTGAGGAAGCTCTTCTTTGAAGCCTTCTCTTCATCCCCAGCTATAAGAATTAGCCCGTGAGCACTACGGGCGCCAGCCAGTCTGTGGCTCTCCTGGGTGGGGTACCACAAATACACATTGGGGGCCTAAGCCTACATGGGGTCTTTTACTCACACAAAGAAATCTATAGGATGGGCCTCCTCATACAGTGAGGCCTTTTTACAAGGTGCAGGAATATAATAAGGTAGCAAAAGTGTCACAATATATATGTGTATGCATGTATGTATTTGATAGCACACAAACATTTCTGTCTGTATTTGGGGCTTCCTATACAGGGATAAGCTCACTTGCAGTTATTCCTTAACCATTTGATAGAAACTTAATCATTTGGGATAAAATCTTTCCTCCCTAATAAAGGTTCCCTCAGCCTCCAGGGCCCAAAGGACTTTAGCAAAGTGCCCAAACAATTGGCAACTGAGTTTCGTAGACAAGACCAAAGCTGGAATTTTGGCCCAACAATCCTGACCTTGACTCTGTGCTTTGCTTTGCTAGATGTGATCTGGCCTTATAAGACAGAGTAATAAGAGGCACGTGGTCAGTGGAGCTATTCTACTATTGGTGAAGCATCCTATTTTTTAACCTTCTTGATAACTTCTGCCAACCCTGAAAAAAAGAAACACAAGGTTTAGTGGCAGTGGGATTCAGCTTGCCTGGAGTTTTACTACTAGAGTCACTATCATGTGATTGTGGACAGGCCTCTCTGGCCTCTGTGCACTTTAGCTTCCCCATTGCCAAAACGAAGCTGTGCTTTCCTCCTCAAAGATGAGAACAAATAAACGAGGAGGAGGTGAGCTCTCTAAGAAGGGTGGATGGCCCAAGAGGCAAACATTCATAATCGTGATATTGCGATGCCAGATAATGTTAGTCATTCATTCGCTTGCTGAGAGGAAAGCCATGCACTTTGGCAGAGCAGATTTGAAAGGGTAGAGAGAAAGGATAGGAGGGCTCCAACAAGGTAGTATTCTCTGGGAGAATTCAGTCAAGAGAGGTCTAAAGGTTCTCAAGAATGAAATTCTGAAGACACAAGCAGAGGGCAGCACTGAATGAGAATGGAAATGGACAGCTGCCTAAAAGACTGACGTGACTACACAGGGAACTCACCCGCAACAACTGTACGAAGCCCCATATGAAGTCAGAAGCAAGGACAAGTAACTGTGGATGAACACAAGAGAGTACCATACGCCTGGAGGAGCAGGATGAGCAAAGGCGTGGCTCAGAATGAGCTGAGGCCAGTGATGAATGCCAGAGTATAAATGGGGGCTGGAGGCAAAAGAGGTTATCAGAGAAGGAATAGAGCTGCTGGAAGGTGAATGGGATGTTAACATAAAATGGAAAGAAGGCTGAACTAATTCACTCATATTCTGCTTCTGGTCATGGAAGGGTAGAAAAAGTGAGCAGGCAGTCAAAACTCAAGATGAGTGAGAAGATAAGATGTATCTGGCTCTCTTCAAGCAACCAGGCCCAAAGGAAATCCTGGGGATTGGGAAAATTGGCAGATCCTGGAACATGAGAGATGCTGCAAAGCTGGAGAGGGCAAAAGTGGTCCCATCTGAAGAAGAGACTGGGAAAATGCTAGTTTACAGGTAGGAAACTCAGATTTCACTCAGGTCCTTGACAAGGCCTCTTATGCTAGCGTGTGGACAAGACCAAGAAATGGGGGCTCTAGGAGAGTCCAGTGGGGCAGACTAAGTTCTGCCTCAATGACTAGACCCAAAGAACAGTCAGTAATGGACTCATGTAAATGTTGAGGGAGGCCTCTAGTGGAAGGCTCCACTATGTTAGTGCTGTGCTGGTCAACATTTTATCTCTCTGTGACTTGGATAAAGGCAGAGAAGTGAGGCTTCTCAAATATTCAGATGCCATGAAGAAAGATAGAGTAGGTGACATTCGGATAACAGGATCCAAAAAGACCCCAACATGCTAGAATAGATAAAATCCATGGAAAAGAAGTTTAGTCAAGATAAACAAAGTGCTACTTTTTTGTTAAAAACTCATCACCGATTGGAAGGATCACCAGAGATGGGTGACTAGGTAGTAGTTCCTCTAAAAAAGATACCATCTCCAACCTCAAGAGGTCAACAATTTGACATGTCAGCTCAGAAAAGCCAGCGCCCTCCTGGGCTGTGCTAAGCCCTGCCCTGAGAGTACCCCCATTCTCTCCCCTGGCCAGATTTACTGTTACTGTGCTAAAGCCTGGGGGCCTCATTTTAGATAGAGCATAGATCAACATGAATAGGAGGTCAATAGGGCTGATGGGAGGAAGGGAGAACATGCCATATGAGGATTGGCCAGAGGAACTGGGGATGCCCAAACTGAAGAAGAGGCTTGGCAGGAACACGCTCATTATCTTCAAATATGTGAAGTGCTCCGCATAGGAAGTGGTTAATAAATGCTTATTGAACTGAACAGCTCAACAAAACAGAACAAAACAAAAAACATAAAGATTTAGGCTTCTAAACCATCTGAGGAGGTTGTCTCTGGCACGGCAGAGGTGCCTCCTCACTGGAGAGCTTCAAGGAGATGCTAAAGGGCCCCTTGGCATTGATTCTGTACAGCTTGGACCAGACGGCCTCTCACGTCCCTTCCAACTCTGAGATTCTGATCCCTGCTGGGAAAGTACCAACTAGCTGGGTGCCTTTGGGACAGTGACAATGGCAAGTGTGCCAGATTTGGAGTCAGAGGAAGTGAATTCAAATCCTGGCTGTCAGTGCCAGTGGCCAAAACCTTGGCCACTCAAGTTGCTTTGCTTCAGTTTCCTCACTAGATTAGGATTCAAGATCTCTTCTAGCTCAAAATTGAGGATCCAGCCATTCTAAACATATTTCTTTGTTTGTAAAATGAAGGTGCTCAACTAGATCATCACGCAACTCCCTGCTCACTCCACAGAGGAATCAAGACATGCCTCTTTACAAACTCTGGGGGTCTAGAGCCCTCGTCTCTCAGCTCCCAGTTCTAGATGTGCCTCTGTACAAACTCTGGAGGTCTAGAGCCCTCGTCTCTCAGCTCCCAGTTCTAGATGTGCCTCTGTACAAACTCTGGAGGTCTAGAGCCCTCGTCTCAGCTCCCAGTTCTAGATGTGCCTCTGTACAAACTCTGGAGGTCTAGAGCCCTCGTCTCTCAGCTCCCAGTTCTAGATGTGCCTCTGTACAAACTCTGGGGGTCTAGAGCCCTCGTCTCTCAGCTCCCAGTTCTAGATGTGCCTCTGCACAAACTCTGGGGGTCTAGAGCCCTCGTCTCTCAGCTCCCAGTTCTAGATGTGCCTCTGCACAAACTCTGGGGGTCTAGAGCCCTCGTCTCTCAGCTCCCAGTTCTAGATGTGCCTCTTTACAAACTCTGGGGGTCTAGAGCCCTCGTCTCTCAGCTCCCAGTTCTAGATGTGCCTCTGCACAAACTCTGGGGGTCTGGAGCCCTCGTCTCTCAGCTCCCAGTTCTAGATGTGCCTCTGCACAAACTCTGGGGGTCTAGAGCCCTCGTCTCTCAGCTCCCAGTTCTAGATGTGCCTCTTTACAAACTCTGGGGGTCTAGAGCCCTCGTCTCTCAGCTCCCAGTTCTAGATGTGCCTCTGCACAAACTCTGGGGGTCTAGAGCCCTCGTCTCTCAGCTCCCAGTTCTAGATGTGCCTCTGCGCAAACTCTGGAGGTCTAGAGCCCTCGTCTCTCAGCTCCCAGTTCTAGATGTGCCTCTTTACAAACGCTGGGGGTCTAGAGCCCTCGTCTCTCAGCTCCCAGTTCTAGATGTGCCTCTGTACAAACTCTGGGGGTCTAGAGCCCTCGTCTCTCAGCTCCCAGTTCTAGATGTGTCTCCTTACAAACCCTGGGGGTCTAGAACTGGTGTCTCTCAGCTCCCAATTCTAGATGCCTCTTTATAAACTCTGGAGTTCTAGAACCCTTGGCTCCAGCTCCTAGTTCTAGATGTGTCTCTTTACAAACACTGGGGGTCTAGAGCCCTCGCCTCTCAGCTCCCAGTTCTAGATGTGTCTCTTTACAAACTCTGGGTTCTAGAGCCCTCGTCTCCAGCTCCAAGTTCTGTGCCTTTGACACTAAAGGACATGATGGCTAAGGTCTACACCATGCTACTAGTTTCACGATTGCCAGGCCCCTCCAAGATTCATCTCTGCACCCCTCATGAGGTGAGGGTGCCATGCTTCCGCCAGGGGCGAGGCTCTGCCTCAGTGCAGGGTGCAGTCCCTCCTTGCCCTCTCGTCCGTGTCCTTCCGTCACTGGTGCCCTTGCGGCCCAGAGGCCGTGCTCTCGTCCTTCCGACGTGGTGGTGCTCAGGTGCAGCTGTTCACACCTGCTCCCCTCATTCCCAGGGCCCAGGGTCTTGTCATCACCTCTTGGGCATATGCTCTATAAGGCGTTGTTCCACTGCCCTTTGCATTATCTGTAGTTCTGATTCTTCCGAGGTGGTGACGGCAGAGTAGAAGGTCCCGGAGGGCAAGGCCCGTTCTGTTTTGTATCCCGAGCATCTGGCACGCTGCTTGGCACGTAGTAGGTGCTTGTTGGAGTCCATGATTCATGGCCACATGGGACTGCCAAGAGGACATGGTCTTCTGCCTCTGCCAGCAGCTGGGGATCGCAGAAAACAGCGCAATCGTGGCATGCCAGAAGCCACAATGGAATGGAAGCAGGAGCATCGAGGTTTGAATCCGAGGCTCTGCCCCGTCACGACATCACTTTGGGAAAACCACTTAACGCAAGCCTGTTTTCTCATCTGTAAGATGGGTACAGTCATTCTCTTCCTGGAGCTGTTGAGGATCAAGTGACAGATGGATACATTACAGCACTCTGTCGATGGGCACTGATGGCATCATCAGCAACAGCAAAGACATAATAAATACTGACTCGAAGGTTAGATGTTTTCCAATGCTGTCTCATCAATCCGTAGTGAGTCTAAGCTTGTGCTAGGTAATGTGCACAGGTCACACTGCTCAATGAATCCAGGTCCCCTAGGGTGGAGCTCCAGCCCAGCCCTCTGGGGGCCACTCAGCCCAAGCCGGGGGAGGGCTCCCAGCAGGACTTTCTGACACCCCGAGCCCCTTTCCAGGAGATCCAGGAGCTACAATGCCCCAAAGATCTGCAGCTCGGTCTCCTCCGGCAGAGCCTCATTCTTGCAGTAGATGAAGCAATCGGCCTCTGTCACCTGAGGCAGCTGGTCGAGGGAGGCCACCAGCGTGCCATGCTCCTGAAGCGCTTCGGGGTAAGCAGGCCTCGAGTGCTCGATCCGCAAGGAGCGCCGCACAGGAGTGATGAGCTTCACGTCTTGTTTCTCAGGCATTCCGGGAGTTCTGCGGGGGAGGGAAGACAGGGAGCCCTTGTGCTTGAGTCTGCTACAATGGCAGGGGCAGGGGCTGGGGGGAGGAGCTGCCCTTGCTGTAGAGATTGCAAACCCCTCACCTGTTCACGGCCTATCTTAAGTCTCAAGCTAGCTAGCTTCCCCACCTCCCAGGGTGCCCTGTAAGCGGGTGTGGATGGGCCTCCTCAGGGACTCCTGGTGGGCTCTGACAACAGGGGCTTCCGGGCTGTGCACCACGCCCCTGGCCTCTGCCACTGTGAGTAAACGAGAATGAACAGGAAAGGGCAAACGTCACACCTGAGGGACAGCGGAAGGCCCGGCTGCTTATCTCAGACAGTGAGAAGGGGACACTTCTGGGTCACTTTTCATTTGGATTTTCTCTTCCTAGATCAGAAGCAGGAATAGCCAAGATCCATGGGAAAGGGGCTGCCCTGCACTGCCTTATTCCCTAAAAAGGCCAATGACACTGTGGTCACAGACTGACATTCAGGCTCTTGCCCTACATATGGAGGACTGTCTTGGCCCATGCCTCCTGCAGCCCCCGACCCTCTCAGCTGTGCGACCCCCCTGCAGTGCCCTCTTCCTTCTCCTGTGCCCTGGATGCAGAAACCCCAGACCTGACCTCTGTCTATGACTTGATTCCCCAGTCTCCATCCTCACTTTGCCTCAGGGCCAGCTGGAAACAGGACCAAGAGGAAAGAGAGGGGACCCAAAAGGAGAAGAAGAGGAGCTCTACTCTGCCATGCTCTGGGACCGCCGAGGCCCCTCTTCCACTCAGAGATTGTCATCCCGCCTGCCACGAGGCCAGGCTTGATGGCAACAGCTGGGGAGGAAAGGAGGGCAAAGGGAAGGCAGGAAGGGGGAGCAGGGAGAGCCCTGACCCACCACTTCCTCCCCTTCCCAGCCCTCGACTTTCCCCAGCTTCCCTCTTCTCAGACTGTCCAGTCCCTGCCTGGCCGTTTCACCCCCTGCTTCTCCCCTTTTTCTTTGCATCCTGGAGGCCTGGGTCCTCACACCTCTCACCCCACCCCCAGTGGCCCAGAGCTTGGCAGGAGGAGGGTCTTTCTGGACTTCTCTGCTGTCACCAGGAACACATTTTCTCCAAGGAACATATTATACAGAGCGGTTAAGTTCTGAGCTGTGTTAATATGGAATTATGCCTCAGATCCATGATGGATTAAAGAGGCTTTTAGGGGCTGGCCTAGCAGCCTAAACATCATCTGTAACAGTGTTTCTATGGGAAAATGTGTTGCATTCCAAACAACTGATGGATAAATATATTTTTAGGACAGGGATTGTTTGTAAGTTTGAAACAGCTACATTCAACTTGCTTTAAAATCTTTAGCTTGTGGCCACGTGGGGACATTAGAATGCTTCTCCCTCCTCCAACCTGCTCATCTTTCACAGCCCAGCTTGTCATCCCCCCTCCCCAATCCTCCCCGAGCACCCCAGCCCCATCCGTCCTCCCTCGTCTGGACTCCTGTGGTCCTTAGATCTCTACCACCAAGACAGCGCTGACAATGGGATTCATTCCTTCAACTGCTAGTTAGCTTTTAACATGTGTGGACAGCTTCTTTCTCCAAATAGCCTGCCCCACTCGCCTGTATCCTCCATAACGCCTAGGATGTGCCAGTCCCACACTGCCTGCCCTCCAATTAAGGTTTGCTGATTGAATATACTAATCATGTTATATACTATAACAACTATTACAGTTAACCAGGTGCATGGCTCTCCTAACCTGGCATCCTTCAGAGAAGGGCTTCTGGACTCTGGCGGCAAGGACAGGCTTGGTCCTCTTGGCCGACGCCAGAGAAATCAGAACAACTACCACTATCGTAGCGTCTGGGGGAAGAAGAGTAGGGCAGGCCCAGGAACGAGGGCACGCTTGAGGACGTCCTTACCTTGGCAAGGGGGTGATCTGCAGCTTGATGCAGGGCATCAGATGGGTGTCTTGACACTTCTTGGCTGTTTGGGGAGCGGCTACAGTGTGGACTCTCTCTCTTGGAGGGAGAAAATCAAATTCTTGGGAAGTCTCTTCCTTTGCCATCTCCTTCACAGATGTAGAATTAGTTTCACTGGTAATTCCTAGATGCACAAGGCCGAGAAGAAAGGCAGAGTTCAAGAATAGTTTAAGTATCTGAGCACAAAAATCCAAAAGCGCAAAGGCAGTGAACATACACAGTTATATGTGGATTAGAGACACCGAAATGGGGAATAAACGTGTGGTGGTTGACTTCCTAGTTAAATGTTGTCTAACTCCACAATGGGAAACCACTGCCTTGCCTAACCTGTCCTCCGAGACTCAGTTTCTCTTAACCTCTAAATGAGGGGTTCTTAACCTGGGGTCCATGAAAAAAATTTCCATGGCCACGAGGCCTCACTGGTACCTCACAGGGAAGGGGGACAGAAACATCACATGTCATTACCTTCTGTCATTCTCTTGGCGCTTTTCAGAATGCTGAGTACGACATCCCTCAACTCTTGTATTGGCTGCGGGGAGGAAGGAAGCACACACACATGTCACACAGGATTCGAGTGGAATGGAGAGGAGACCTTTCAAAGCCAAAGAGTCCTGGAACTCACATGTCCTCTGCAGCAAATGAGAAATTGTGTGCACGTGTGTACACACACACACACACACACACACACATATGCATATATATCTATTTCACTTTTATTCTTGTCAAGCTGCAACTAAAAAGCTGTAAGCTATAACTTAAAAAAAGAAAATCCAATGTCCCTGCCCGTGGGAATAATGAAGGAATAATGGAAGCACAAGAAGAACCCAGGTATTTCTCACTTTTAGGGAGGGAGACGTCTTCCTGAAAAGTGGATTTTCAAAGGGAATTTCTGTAAATTGATTTGTTTTCCCCAGACTTGCATTCTCAAATTGGAGCAATATTCCCCTAGGACTGCTGCTGACTCCCTGCCCCCTCTCTGGGCATCTAATCAATCCTGACTCTGAAAGAAAGTGTCATCAAAGTGAAGATGGCAGGCTGCCAGGAACCAGAGGCTCACAGACTCTGAGTGAGAAGGTGCCCCTGCAGCCATCTTGCTATGGAGCTGGAAGGGCCCTCAGAGGCCCTCGGCAATAATTCAAGGTGTGACTACAAAGTCACAGGACTGAGGACCTCACATGTCATAGAGCAGCAGACTGAGGCCTACCTGAGCTTCAGCGGTACCTCACACAGGCACCCAGCCTCTCTGACTCCAGAGCCAGCCCCTCATTCCAGTTATAAGTAAGCAGGCCCACAGGGGTGACCCGGCTTGTCACATAACCTGTGTCCTAACTTGATGCTGATTCCTTGGACAGGACAGTGACATTGTTTCTGTGAGAAAGTGCACAGCTGGGCTTTGGACCCAGGGCCTCAGACTCCAAATCTATCCTGCTTTCCATTGTACCAAATCTTGACAGTCATTCAGAACAGCAGAATTGTGCTCCAGGCGCACCATGGACATGGAAGGAGTCTGCATGTCAATCACCCAAAGGGCCTAGGGGCTCTGCCTCCATGCTCTCCTCCCATCCCAGAGCTGCAGACACAATTCTTTCCTAACTTTGATCTCTAAGTATCAATGTTAGTCCTTGGGACTAGATTAATGTATGCGGGAGATTTGTCAACCATCTTACATGGGTGTTTACAAGTAGTCAACAGCCTTTTTTATCTCTATATAAAAACTCCAGGGGCAGCTAGGTGGCACAGTGGATAGAGCACTGACCCTGGAGTCAGTTCAAATCCGGTCTCAGACCAGAACACTATACACTTACTAGCCATGTGACCCTGGGCAAGTCACTTAACTCCAATTACCTCGCCAAAAAAAAAAAATTCCCTTTCAAGATTTTAAAATTTCAGTTGTTTCTCCTAATGGGGTCATTTCATGCCACAGCTCTTAACTGCTTAATTGTCATGGTGGTTAATGTGTTTGCATCCTACCCTTGAGTTCTCTAGAGGTTTGGGGTGGGTGACCATGGGTTCACCTAGGCCAGTCTTATACACAAGCTTTTGACAGCTGACCAAAGGGAATAAATTTTGGGCATGGGCTTAGCAATATACAGTACATTTATTGGCCAAGGGGCAGCCTAGCTAGGCTTGGAGAATTTCATCCCCAGGTGATGGGATTTTTTTCACACACAACAGTCAAAGACTATACATTAAGGGGGGAAAGGATTTCTATATGAATTGGCAGAGGAAATACCCAGACCAATGAAATTAGAGATCCCTGAAGCACTCCTGAGGAAGCCATTCTGGCTTCATGTATTGGTCAGCCTTTTAGAGAATGTGCTGTTTTTACATGCTGCTATTACAAAGACTTTTCCATATGTTATAGTAGAAAGAGCACAGGTTTTGGAGTCACAAAGACCACGAGCTCAAATCCCACCTCCGGTATGAACTGTATGACCCTGGGCAAGTCACTTAACCTCTATTTGCTTCAGTTTCCTTATCTGTAAAATGAAAGGCTTGGAATAAATGGCCTGTGAGGTGCCTTCCAGCTATGAGGCCAGGAGAGTTTTGGGGACTCCTGTTGTGTGGGGTACTTCTTCCCTTCCTGAGAGACAGATTCCATTTTGCTCATGTGAAAAATATTTTAAAAAATGAAACAAAAACACCCACTTTTTCAACAAAACTGTGAAAGTCTTGGATATCCCCCTGTGTGGTCAGTACACACTTTCACAAATCACAGGGGCAGCTAGGTGGTGCAGGGCATAGAGCACCAGCCCTAGAGTCAGGAGGACCAGAGTTCAAATCTGGCCTCAGACACTTGACACTTATTAGCTGTGTGACCCTGGGCAAGTCACTTAGCCCCGATTGCCTTGGAAAAAACCAAAACAAAACCAAAAACCAAATTATCTCAGGAGTCTGGCTCCACACAAAATGCTACACTGTGGCATAAACATGTGTAACAAACTTTATGTCACACTGTGAGACATGTGAAGTCACTAAAACCCCTCAAAAATGGTTCCTGTCTTAAAATGATGGACTCTCAGAGCTGGCAAGCGCCTTGGTGTTCACTCCAATGAATTCTTTTACTTTAGGGGTGACACCCAGCCCAAGGTCATGCAGCAGAGCAGAAAGGGGAAGCCAACTTCCCTGGCGCCCAGTTTCCATTACACCCACTCACTTTTAGTAGCCTAAGTGCCCAGAGAACAAGCATTTATTAAACACTACAGTGTGCAAGGCACTGGGCTAAGTGCTTTACAAATATCATCTCACTGGAGCCTTACAACAGCCCTGTGAGGTGGTCATCCTTTTTTTTTTTTTTGGTTGAAGCAATGGGGGTTAAGTGACTTGTCCTAGTAAGTGTTATGTGCCTGAGGCCAGATTTGAACTCAGGTTCTCCTGACTCCAGGGTCGGTGCTCTGTCCACTGTGCCACCCAGCTGTCCCCATGGGATCCTTCTTTGAATGGGCTCCATGAAAGGTACAAACACCGTTTTTAGATAGCAGGAAGAAGCTGGGTTTGCAAATGTGCTGCTCAGCTGAATTCTGTTGGTCACAGAGCATGGTCCCTGAAGAAGGAGCCGCCATCAGAGAACACTCACCTCGGCCCCACAGCGAACAGCAGCTTCGTAGAGCCCTATCACCTCTGAGCTGTCTGTACTTGCCAGTAGCTTGGCCTTGCAGATCCAGAACGTGGCAAACTTTTCTGCCTCAGGAAAGCCAGAGAGTATAGCCAGGATCTCCTCAGAGCGCACACCCTAGGGGAACAAAGATCCCACATATTTTAAAGGATTGCAATACCTAGCAGTGATGGTATCACAGGAGCAGGCAGGTTTACTCAGGCATGACCTGTAGGGGATTTTTTTTTTAAACATTAAGTTTTATTGATTCCTTTTGTTTTTGCAGGCATTTCTGGATGAACTCCAACTCTCCTGACAATGTATACAACAGTGCTCTCAAAGTACTCTCCTCCCTCCCCCTTTTATGGAGAGGAAGGAGGATGTGACACAGTCTGATGAAGCCATCCGAGCTCTTGCTGATCGTTGCTTCCTTTTCTAGTTTGTCCATTAACTACCCTTTAATAGCATGTTCCAGAATTTTGCCAAGGATTGAAGTCAAGCTCATTGGCTTAGTTTAGACTCCATTATCTCCTCTCTCCCTGTGCTCCTTACAACAACAAGATTTTCATCCCTTTCTACTTGGATGGTCACTCTCCCATTACTCATAATTTAAAAAAAAAAACCCAAACCCCAAAACACCCAACCTTATTTTTATTGATACCTTAAAACTTTTTTGATGCCTTTTGTTTTTATATCACTTTATATCACCTTTATTTCTGAATATTCTGAATCCCTCCCTAGCCAGCAAACTACTCTTTGTAATGAAGAATAAAAAAGGTAGAGAGAAAATAAAGTCAGCTGAACATCCAACACACGTCAATGAAGCCCGACGTGTGCTACGCTCCACACCCGCCGTCCCTCACTTCTGCGGTGAAGTCACAGGTCTGATGACTGCTCAGCACTCCTACCCACTAGTTCAGCGGATACCCCAGGAAGGCTGTCATCTGGGCTTTCTCCCTGTCTCCTTATTCATCTTGGATGTTATTAACTGTTCATTAGTGATTTCGGTTCTGTCTTTTCCATTCCATAGAGCCTTTCCCTTGGTAGAAAAACCAGAAGCAAAGCACAAATGGAGGGGCTCAGCTTTCTCTCTGGTCATTGTCATCATCATCCTATTCAAAGGAAGCAATGGCTCCCTTCCTGCTGTGACCCTCCGTTCCTCTGCTAAGCTGAGCCGGGTAAGAATGAGGATCTTGTTTTTTTGTCACCAGCATCTCAGACCCTCTTTGTCCAGAGCAGGGCCAGGCTTCCACAGTCACCATCAGCTGCCCGGCCGCCATCGAACGTACACACCTTTAAAACCGATCTCAGCTGGTCATGGGGCTGCCTAAGCATCCATGTCGGTCTCTTTGGACAATCCTACTTTGGGCTCTTCCTCCTAACTGCTTCCTTTGAGTCACCAGAGCTTCCTATCCCTCCTCGGCTGACTTGAGTAGAATCTTTGTCCTTGACATCAGTGCTAATAATGGAGATTAAAACTGAATGTGTCCTGGGCACACTTTTTTTCCTTTGGAAAGCCGGCTGTTAAACATCGAGCAGAATACTGCTGCACAGCAGGCTCATGATCAGGGAGCTGGTCGTACAGCTGTCCTTTGTTCTGCTCCGGAAGCCTCGCTGCAGGCAAGGATTCACTGTCTGGAGAACCTCCAGAGCCGATCAGTCAGCACAGAGGAGGGCTTAGCCTGGCTATGACACAAAGGAAGGAGCTGTCTCAGGTACTGAAAGAGGGGTTTAGCCTGGTTCTGCTCAGTCTCAGTGGGCAGAACCAGAAGGAATGTGCAGAAGGAGCAAAAAGGAGGCAAACTGAGGCCGGCTGTCAGGAGAAACTCCCTAGGCGGAAAGCCATGGCAGGAGGCAGTGGGCTCTCTCCCTAGGGGGCATCCAGCCAGCCTCAGCGCCTCAGTCAAGGCAGGATCGAAGCAGTCAGCTGTGATGTGACGGGGTGGGACCCTTGCTCACTTGTGGGGTGGCCAGAGGGCTTTGGAGGACACCCAGGGCTGAGATTCTGCTGCTCTGATCACATCCCCCCTGAGTACAAGGTCTATGTAATCATGTGGGCGAGGCAGCTGAGGGTGGATGCCAGATGCAGACTACAGGTTAACACCATGTAGTTAGAGAGCTCGGGGCAGCATGCACATCTGGTCCCTTCTCCATCTGGCTCCCCAGCTTCCTTAGCATCCTGGACCTTGCAAAGAGCAGAGTCCTTTCTGGCTGTGCTCCCATGATCCCCCTCCACGTGAGCCCTCTCTGCGTGAGGCTGTGAGTCGCCTCCACAGTCTCTCCCTGAACAACTCTGAGCTCAAAGCTCTACCCAGCTTGGTGCCTATGGCCAGAAACACCTTCTCCTCATCTCCCCCTGAGCTAAGCTCTTCTGGGACAGCCCTCGTTCTCCAGTGAATTAATGCCCTTCCCTTTTCCATTCTTCCCTCCACCACAGTGATCTCCAGTTCCAGCTTGGATAGCTTCTGGCTCATTAAATTAATACCTCCTCCAAACCATGTGCCTAACAGCTTTCTTGCTTGTAGTCGCAGGAGGTACAAGCATAATGCCCACATCACTGAAGAAAGGGCTGGCTATTCCACAGAAGCACCCAAAAATACATATGGAACTCTGGATCGGGCACTATTAACAGCTACATCAAATGCAAATGAGGGAATGGTTCTGGCTGGTTAGTGTGGCCTCCACAAGCAGCTAGGGTTTATCTACAGCCTTGCCACGCCGCTCTGCTCAACCAGGAATACCCACTGCAAACCAGGGTCTTCTGATTTCCCTTAAAGCAAGGGAGGCCTGCAGGTTAGAGGCGGTGACCTCCTCGGCTCCTTCTCTGCTTTGTCTCAGCCTCATAAGCCTGGCCTCCACCAAGCCCCAGGTTGGGCTGAGGCTCCTGCTCACCTCTTCCACCAGCTTCAGGCACTCTGCCAGGGAGCTCTTAATTTTGTTGGATAGGTCCAGCTCTGTGGTCTTTGTCTCTTCCTCCTCCTCCTCTCTCATGCTTTTCCAGAAGGAAAGGTTGAATGTCTGCATGTTCTTGTTTTGTGTGAGAAACTTCATAGGGGGTCGCTTATAGGTCTTCCCTTTGGATGCCAGCCATTCTTCCAGTTTTTTCCTGTTGTGGGATTAAAAACAGAAGGCTAAAGGAGGGCTCTGAGAAGGGGAAGGGGAAAGGGAGAAGGGATACCGGGAAATTGAGGTTGATGCAAAACCAGAAGAGATTAATGGAAATCTATTAGCCTTCCCTCTACTCCCCTCCCCCAGGCCTAAGTCCTTTTTTTTTTTTTTGCTGAGGCAATTGGGATTAAGTGACTTGCCCAGGGTCACACAGCTAGCAAGTGTCAAGTGTCTGAGGTCGCATTTGAACTCAGGTCCTCCTTACTCCAAGACCAGAGCTAGCTGCCCCCTCAGGGCTAAGTCTGTGTAGGCATATGCAGAAACTCTTCAGAAACAGCATTTGGTGACAGAGCTTCAATCCAATGCCTTCAAATGATAATTACTGGCAAGCAGGCTCATGCTCAAGCATACATGCCACATCGATGCCAGAGCTATTACAAGAAAATCCATCCATGTTAAGATGCAAATAATTTCTCAGATTCTCTTCTGTGTGACCTTCCCCTTTCTCTGCAGCCCCTCAACCTCTACTCAATGCCAAGCCTGCAAGACTGCACCCTGAACCTGGGTTCAAGAGTGGGTCAAGTTCTTAGCCTTGCCCTCCCTGCCCCAGGGAGCCTCGGACACCCAAAGAAGTAATAACAGCTGCCATCTCTCTAGGTGTGCAAAGCATTTTACAAACATCACATTTGATCCTCACAGCCACCCTGGGAAGCAGGTGCTATTATTCCCATTTTACAGACAAGGAAACTCAGGAAAACAGAGATTAAGTGACTTGCCCAGGATCACACAGCTGGGCAGTGTCTGAAGCTGAATTTGATCCCAAATCTTGCTCTTTCTCCATTGTGCCACCTGGCTAGCTGCCTCTAGCTAATTCTTCAAATTAGTGCCAGATTCATCTTCCTTACACACGGATGTGACCATGTCACTGCTGTCATCAACCCTCTCTCTGGGTCTCTAATTGCTGCCAAATAAAGTCTGAGCTCTCTAGCCTGGCAATCCAGGCTCTACAATCTGCCCTGTCTCTGCAGAGCAGTCTTCTCTCACACTTGCCTACAGCACAGAGGCCAAGAGTGTTTAAGAACCGCACACTCCCCGCCCCTGCCTTTGCTTACTCCATTCCCTATGGCAGGATGCATCCTCTGCCCCCAATGCCACCGTTCACAATCTCCCAATCCTTTAGGCTCTGTCCAAGCACTGCTCCCTGCCAGGAGGGTGAGGAGGGACAGATGGGGCAGGCTGCTTGCTCACTGCCCTTCCTTTTCCCCAGGCCTGGAGGGCTCCCCTTTACCTCCCCCTCCTGGCTTCCCTGAAGACTCAGCTCAAATCCCACCCCCTGCCTTTTCTATTCTTTCCTGGTCTCCTCACTGCTGGCGCCTTCCCACTGAGGGGACCTTCTCTATTCTTTATGTGTCTTGTATGTACCTAGGTGTTCTCCATGTTGGGCGCTAGGTGGCACCATAGTGCAAAGAGCACTGGGCTGGAGTTGGGAAGACTTATCTTCACGAATTCAAATCCAGCCTCAGACACTTACCAGCTGTGTGACCTTAGGCAAGTCACTCAACTTATTTGCCTTAGTTTCCTTATCTGTAAAATGAGCCGGAGAAGGAACTGGAAAACCAGTCCAGTATCTTTGCCAAGAAAACCCCGAATGGGGCCACAGAGAGTCAGACCTGACTGAAGACGACTGAACAACAACAATTTCCCATGGTACCGCCCCCATCTGCATGTTAGCTCCTTGTAGGCAGGGCTGCTTCTTCCTTTCTCTGTATCCTCAGCACTAAGCATGGTGCCTGACACCTGGCACTGCTGGATTAATGCTCACTGACTGACTCACTTCCGCTGGGGATACAGTATAAGGGCTTAATTAGTGGATTTCACAGAAATCAGTCACAAGGTTAGAATGGCGTGGGCATGGGCTGGCAGTGCAGCACGGGCCCCAGGGAATCTCTCTCCTGTGCTGCGTTCATGAGCTCCACCGATGATTGCCCTGTGTCTTGCCTTCAGAAGCCACTTCAGGGGAGTCAGGGTGTCTGCGGTCATGAGATGCTGTGTGTATTTCTGGCCTGTCTGCCCCTAGTCTGCTTGCACTTGGCGGGGAGGGCTGGAAAGCCAAGATGTGACCAGGGTTAGCAGATGTCCCATCTCTGAGACCACAATCTCTGTGCTAATCCCGTGTCCTCATGTGAACTACGATTATGGTGATTGCCTGCAGGCCCACCCTCCCTCTCAAACTTGTCTTTAAAGCACCAAGTGTCTATGTCCCACTTAGCGGCTCCTCTTAGCTGGTGCTCCCCTTCAGCACCAGCTCCCCATCCCTGCTCCCTCCTGCCCCCTCCCTTGCTACCAGGTTTCCTCTCAAATCTCCTAAGGCCCAGGCTCAAGAGTGGGGAACCTGCTGCCTTCAGGCCACATGTGGCCCTCTAGGTCCTCAAGTGTGGCCCTTTGATGCAATCCCTTCATAAAAGGATTTGTTCTGCAAAACTTGGGCTCAGTCAAAAGGCTGCACCCGAGGACCTAGAGGGCCACATGTGGCCTTGAGGCCACGGCTCCCCACCCCTGGTCCAGGCTCTCTCCAGCTTTCCATGCTGAAAACTAATATTCATTGTACTAATAGGGTAAGACCACTGGAGCCCTTTAGAGACCTCTCCTCAGTGTTCAAGCTACATTTAACTTTGGTATCACTGAGACAACTGTTATTTGATGTTTCTACCCAATGTCAATACAGTCACTGTATTATCTTATGTAACTTATATGTAGAAACTAGTACAGATGAAATAAACATAAAACCTTTCTGACATCAAATGAACATATATATGTACACATACATACATACATACACACACACAAATGTCAGTCTAAAACACTTGGACCTTTGGGCCTCTTTTGGACCTAATAGTTTACATTACTTCTGGAAATCTCCCTCACTCACTTTAAATCTCCTTCCCTGCCACATTCTTCCACATCTCATGCCTGTATTCCCTAGATAGGTCAGCAGGGTCCCTTACAATAGCTAATACCTAGTTTTCACCTTCCTATGACATCAGAGGTGGGAACCAATCAGATGTGCCTTATCAAGAAGCTGCCCATCCCTATATGACTCTTGATACTGGGCTGCTTTGTTGTGGAGGTGATGGGAAGCCAGATGGCCCATATATTGGCCAGGAGTGACAGGTTGGCAGAGCCAGGCATGACAAGTCCCAGGACAGCCTCTTTGAAGGAACATTGCTAACTTCCTTTCAACTGCTCTTGAGGTCTGAAGACCACTGCTTCTAATGTTCCAGTGAATGGAGTGAGGATTAAAATAGGGTTTACCTAACATAACCCCCTGGTGACTGAGATCTGGTTGTATCCACCTCTCACTGCCCCAGTTTCACCATGCTCCTGGTCCTCCCATTTGTAAAAGTTGAAATGTGCCATAACAAAGGTCTACTGTTTTATGCATTACTGGCCTGCTTTATTCTTTTATGAAACTCCCCCAAGTCCCTTAACTGTAATCTAACTGTATGGTAGCCCACCAGGGATTTAAACCAAAGTGCCACAAGAACCATATATTTTATAAAGTAATGTCAGTCTTCAAAAAGTTAAAATTCAAGAATTGAAAAAAATAAAAAAAAGGTTTGCTAATCTGTGTTCCAAGCCCAAGCCCCTCCCTGACAGCTCTTGTCCAGTGACTGCATTCGACTCTGGGCAGCCAATCTTTTTAGTACTAAATGTTATGAATGTAAACCATTGGCAGGCTTTAGGAATAGGAACAGAAGACGGAAAGAGACTGGGGAGAGAAAGGTAGAAAAAGAAACAAAAAAGACAAAATTACCATCAGCCAAGGTTTCAGGCCAGGTGGCACAGTGTCTAGACTGTTAAAACCTAAAGTCAAGAAGAGCAGAGTTCAAATCCTGCCTTGGATACTTGCTAGCTGTGTGGCCTTAGGCAAGTTGCTGACCCTTTTCTCAAGCTTTGGTTTCCTCATGTATAAAATGGGAATAATAATAGGGGATCAAATGGGATGATACATGTAAACGTGTTAGAGCACCACATAAAAGTGGATTATTATATTGACTGGTGGCAAAGGTGCCAGATTGCCCCTACCTGCCTTAAAGCAGAGAACAGATGGCCACCTAAGAGGTCCCTCGGTACTGTGAGCTGGTTATTTTAGCAGCTTGCTATATTGAACTACTTTGCATATTTTTGTATCAACTTTACATTAATGCTGTAATTATTTTTACATGTACTTCCTGTCTCTCTCCCATTAGAATGGAAGTTCCTGGAGGGTACGAGTTGTCTTTTGCCTTTCTTCATATCCCCAGCATTTAGCACAGGTCCTGGCACATAGTAGGTACTTAACGCTTATTTACTGATTGATGCTTGTTCAAATGGATGCCAGCAGTAAACCTTTATTCCATAGCACTACAAGTCTCTGTGTATAGCCAATCCTGTACTCATAATTAGAACCCTGTCCTGAATAGTCGATCCATCAAGCTAACACAATTAACATCTGAAATACTCAGGCATTAATATTCTCACCGAGCGATGAGCCTGATTTTTTTTGGGACAAGACTTCGAGAGTCCTGGTATTCTGGATCAGCCACAGAGATGACGAGATGCTGAGAGGAGCCAATTTGGTAAACATTTATTAAGCACCTCCTCCGTGCTAGAGATAAAGAGATAGGTACAACGCAGCTTCTCCTTTCAAGGAATTTGTAATTTAATATGCATATTACTGATATAAGGGAAAGTGAGAAGTGCAAAGGAGAATCCCAGGACGAATGTCAGGAGAAACTTGAAGCACGAGAAACTGAGAGGTATAAGGGGTCTGGGCAGGCCTCCCAAAGGAGGTGACCCCTGAGTTGGACCCTGAAGGGAGAGAGGGACTTCATAAGATCAGAGGTGCCTTTCTGAAATCAGGAAATCCGACTATCTCATTTTACAGAGAAGGAAACCAAGGCGTGCAGGAAGAACAACTTAACTAAGTTTAACCTAGGTGGTGATAAAAATAATAATGACGTTAATAATAGCTAGCATCTATGTAAGGTTTACATAGGTTCACCTATGTGATCTTCACAAGGGCTCTGTGAGACAGGTGCTATTATTATCCAAATTTGACAGCTGAAGAAACTGAGTAGACCTCAGGGAGGTTAAATAAGTACGTCAGCCAGGATTTGACCTCAGGTCCTCCTGACTTCAAGTCTCGCATTGTATCCACTGTGCTGGGAGTTGACAATAAGTGACTGATTGAGTTCCAAACCCAGTGCTCTTTCCCATAGACCACAGCCAATTCCTAGAGAGTTAGCAGAGGGTGAGGGGAGTCTGTTATAGGCATGGGAGAAGAAAAGAGCAGACATGGAAGGAGAGGGCTGGACATGGGTGGGTGGGTGGGAACAAAGAGTCTGGCTTGAACAGAGTGTGGGGAGGGGAGCAGTATAAGAAAGGCTGGAAAGGGCAGTTGGGGTAGACTGTGGAAGGGCTCTGAATGCCAGGATCAGAAGCTCATCCTTCATTTGGTGGGCAATATGCAGCTACAGAAGGCTTTTGAAAGTGACATCAGAGCAATCAGAATGATTACTTCGGCAGTGGTGGGACGGAGGGACCAACCTGGCACAGACTGGAGGCAGGGAGGGCCATTTAGGAGGCTTTACAATTATCCACTTGAAGCTAACTTGTACCCTGTTCTGTATCTCTGATAGATTGCTGAAGGACAGGTTTTACTTTCCATGAATAATAGTCATCACTGATACAAAGGAAAAAAATCCCCAATTACTTGTCTAGCCAACAGTATCATCATCACTTACCATATCTTTGTGTACAAATTGATCTCATGAAAATGTAGACAATTTTAATTTTTAAAAGGGAAAAAAAAATCAATGTTAATATCTATACTTACTATTGAAGTCAATTCTCCCCACCCCCTGAATTAATTTCTGACCCACGGAAGGTAGGAGAAATACGGCTCTATCGTTCGGTGGATTAGCACATATGTGGATACATGTATACCGCCGCCCACTTTAAGATGCCATGTTTTCAATACCTTCGATCCTCCTTGCCTCTTTTCCGCTGGGTATTTGGCTGGACCTGGGCCCTGGATGCTTCCAGCAAGGCTGGCTCTTGCATTCCTCTTTCACTTGTGGGAGGCTTTGTCAAGCTGACACCGGGCTGAGCTGTGGGGTTCCGGGGCACAGTCCTTTTGGTCTTGGAGTTGAGGGTCTGTGGCTCTTTTTTCAAGCTATAATTGCTCTGATTCTTTGTAGGTCCCTGTGTGTGGACTTTTGAGGTGCCACCCATCAGGTGAGGCTGTCTTGTCACGGTTCTCAATGGCGGCGCCATTACGGATGGCTTCCTTTTGGTACAAGGCTGCATCAGCCTTAGATCTTGCTGACCATTTTCACATCGATTGAACCTTCCCACCTGCAGCACCGCTGGATTTGTCCTTGGGAGTCCTCTTTTGATAGGCTGTTTAATGACAGCATTTCCTCGTAACTCGGATCTATCGTGACCTTCTTTTTCATCTTTGTTGACCTTTCCATCCTCTAGTTTCTTTGCTTCTCGAGTCCTGGCAAGGCTCTGAACCAAATGAGAAGGAACCGTCCTTGGATGTTTGTCTCCCGGTCTTTCCCCACCTGCCCCCTTGGGGAGCTGCTGCTGGGAACTTCCTGCGGGAAGCCAGGCTTGAATCTTGTGAACAAATGGTTTGTTAACCTGGTCTTTCAGAAGGATGCTGATCTTGGCACCTCTGTCTGCAGCTTGCTTTGGAGCCAGACCTCTTTTGCTGGGATTGTGTGGATTGCCCTTTGATTTAGCTCTGTTGCAAACCCCAGATTCTGGTTTCATCTTTAGTTCCACAGTGGTTGGGAGAGGCCAGTTCTCTTTGTCTGTCTCCTTTGGAAGGTCACCCGAGAGCTGGCTGTCGGTGCGGAGCTTGGTCACGGAGTCCATCCGCCCGGCCGTTCTGTGATTTGTTGTGGTCTTCTGCTCTGAGGACCTCCTCATACACTGGCTCTCACTTGACGGCAGAGGCTTTCGATTCAGCGTATGTACAGTAGAAGACGCCGTTTTCTGTGGGTGGTGGACGTGGGTGTTCCCTGGGAGTTTAGAGTCTGGCTTGGAGGAAAGGGGGCCTGTAATTGGTCCTTTGCCCTGAATTTGTGGTACTGCTGGTTTTGGCCTTTGGGTTCCACTGACATTGGAAGATCCTGGCTGAAGCACATTACCAGTGGGCCTCCCAGAAGCATGAGTCTGGGCCCATCTCCCTGGGTCATTTTTGGGTCTAGCGATCTGAAAGATAAAGGCACAATAGCAACAATGGCTTTGTTAGGACAATCTATTCAAAGACAAGCTAAAAAACCCAGTTAAATGTCTAACTTGACTTATTTTAGCTTGGAGAAAATGAGGATGTTCTCATCTACAGACAAGGCACAGAGCTCAGGCACCTCCCTTTAGCTTAGCCGGGACTGGGCAAGGATGGCAGAAAACGTGTCATGACAATTGCGCTGCTTTGTGTGGAATCTACACACTGGGGGGACTGCCAGAAGGTACAACCCAGGGGCGGGGCACCCACCTGACAGTTAATACCAGTCTGCACAGAATCCCCCCCCCCTTCTCTTCAGCTCTGACCCTGGTGCTTCTTGGACCTTTCCAAACTCATCACGGAGCTCCTCGAGGGCAGAAACAGTTACACTTTTGTCTTTGAATCTCCACGTCTGAGCACAGCTAACGCTTGTTGAACTGGAGACGCCTACAACTGAGCCGCCCGCCGTCTTGTGCCGAGGCCACCACCGTCTCGGCTTCTCTCTTTCTCCTAACAATGGCATCGCTAAGGCTCAACATCTCAGTATTACCTCTGACCTCCCTGTCCCTCTGCTCCAGCCCATCCTTTGCAATGTTTCCTGTAACTCCTTCTCGTCCCAGTCATTCATTCAGGTCCTTGTCACCTCACTACTGGCTTACTGCAATAGCTCCTTACCTAGCCTTTCTACTATTGGTTTTTTTTCCACCCCCCATCCCTCCCTGAAATCAATCTTCCTCTCTATTATCTACAGAATAAAGTATAATCTCTTTAGCTAGGCATTCAGGCTTTCTATAGTCTGGCCCCCAAAGTTTCTCGTCTTATTTCCCATCATCCACTGACATGAATTTTCTATTTTTACCCTAAATGATCTACTTACGGCCATCACGATTCCATGTGTTTTTCTGCTTTGGCTATAATAATAATAATAATAATAATAATAATAATAATAATAATAACAACAACAACAACAAGAATAACAGCTAGCATTTGTATAGCACTTTACAAATATCTTATTTGATCCCCAAAACAACCCTGGTAGGTAGGTATTATTATTATGCCTATTTCACAGGTGGGGAAACTGAGGCAGAGGGTGTGACTTGCCCAAGTCACAGCTAGTGTCCAAGGCCAGATGTGAAATTAGATCTTCCTGACTCCAAGTCCAGGGTTCTACCCACTGTGCCACAATGCCTAATACACTCTACCTGTTCTATTCTTACCTTCAAGATCAAGATCTAATCTCATCACAAACCAACATGATCTTGTCATTTTCTCTGAATTGCCTTTTTCTGTACCACTCAGTTGGCATTTACAATTTCCTGCCTTTTATTATAATTATTATTCTCTTTTTATGTCTGCTACACTTCTTTTACTATATTACAAACTCCTCAGGGGAGGGAACATAACTTGGAATTTTCGTATTCTCTTCAATAAGCCACTTCATCTCATTATGTACAATAAATTAATTCAGAAGGCATCTATTAGTGTTTAGTGACTGGGAAATTCTAATAAGAAGCCCTTATCTTCCGGTAGGCATTGGTTCAAAGCAAAGCTACTAAGCTTGTGTTAGCACGTGATGTTAGTACCAGGTGTATTTATGGGAAATTTATTTCTGCCACAAATATTCTCCCGGTTGCTGAAGGTTTTATGTCAATGGCCTGCAGGTCATTTACTTCAAGACTACAGGAATTTGTGATTGAGACTCCTCTATAGCTGAGCAGGTGGTTTCAAAGAGCTGCCACGGCCAAAGACAACATGGCAAGAAGCTCTGTGACCTCAGTGAGGCTGGTCCCCTCAGCGCAGGTGTGTGATCTGCCAGTGGGCCTACATGTCTTTAATGACAAAGGAAGTACCCTGACACTCCCAATAGTTGAGCAAATGACTTCTCGGTCCATGTAAAAATATCTAAAGTGGACGTTTAAAAACCCTCTGCAGCTTCATGTCTATATACGACTTTACAAAGTACAGAAACCACCCAGGGTCAACGACAGGTCCTAATGGAAGGAGGCAAATTTGACATCATAGATGTCACTGGGACATGGAGGAGGAGACTTTCACCTAGGCTTTGGTTTTGGAGGGGTGCATGCTACTCATGGGATGCAGGATAGGTAAAGGGGGAGTGGGGAGCACTGGATGTTAAGATGTACTCGTGAGGAAATCCAGGAACCAGAGGCGTGGAGTGAAAATTTTGAAGTAGGGCAGAGAAGCACAGCCTGTTAAGAAAGTACATTTTTGTTGGGAAGTCTAGGAACCAGAGGAGAGAAACCTGGTATTTGGGTAAAACTCGATAGAAGCACAAACAGAAGCCATATTTTCATTGGCTTATACCGCAGACTACCTGACAGAGGAAGGAACTAGCTGAAGACACTGGATTCCAGCTCCCAGGCCTGGCACAGAGGTGTGACCTCATGGTGATGGTGCTGAAAGTGAAGCAGCTAATGACCTGACCTGCCTTCGCTCCACTTTCATCCTTCAAAAGGTAGAGGAACTAAGGAGGTAAACTTCTATTCCGGATTTGATTCTCACCTAACCAGGCTTCTGGGATGGAAATGATGGGAGGCTTTGGGTTCAGTGGCCATCCCCTCATAGAATCTACGCCTCCTGGATTGCTTAACTCAGGTGACACCAACAAGAAACAGGTTAGCTGGACTGCCCAAAGCTAGTGCTGTCCCTGTCCCTGGAAACTGATACATTTGGTATCTGTGCACGTGTCCCCCATGGTCGCCATCGTTTCCCAGCTTCCCAGCTACATCCACCCCAGGTGAATGTACGCTCCTTGAAGGCAGGGACTATTTCATTTTTGTCTCTTTCCTCAGTATGTGGCACAGTGCCTAGCACATACCAGGTGCTTAATGTTTGTTGAAAGAGTGAAAAAAGCCAAGCATAGATTTTGGGGAAGCAGATTTGAAAGGGTTTAGAGCAGATTCTTAACTTGGGGTCTGTGAACTTAAACATAATTTTTTTTTAATAACTTTCAATATAACTGGCTTCCTTCGAAATCTTACTCATTTAAATGTATTTGTGAATTTTACTATTCTATTTTTTCCCCAATTACATGTAAAAACAATTTTTAACCTTTGTTTTTTACAATTTCGAATTCTAAATTCTCTCCCATCCTCCCTCCCCCACCCCCATCATCATTGAGAAGGCAAGTAATTTGATAAAGGTGATGCATGTGAAGTTATGCAAAACATATTTCCATATTAGTTGTGTTGTGGAAAAAAAAAACACAGACAAAAAACCCAAGGAAAATAAAATAAAAAAACATACTTTGATCTGCATTTACATTCCATCAGTTCTTTCTCTAAAGGTGGATAGCATTTTTCATCATAGGCCCTTCAGAATTGTCTTGGATCTTTGCATTGCTGGGAATAGCTAAGTTATTTATAGATGATCATTGTAAAATATTATGTATTTTACTTTAAGCATTTAAAAACATGATTCTGAGAAAGGGGCCCTAGGTGTCACCAAATGGTTGCCAAAGGGGTCTATGGCACTGACAAGGCTAAGGCTCCTTGGTTTAGAAAAAGAAAGGTAGGATTGAGTACCAGCCTGGAGTCAGGAGGACCTGAGTTCAAATCTGGCCTCAGACCAAACACTTGACATTTACTAGCTGTGTGACCCTGGGCAAGTCACTTAATCCCAATTGCCTAAAAAATTCCCCCAAAATAACAAAAACCAAAAAAACAAAAAAAGAAAGGTAGGATCCAGTGATTGGAGGAAGCCAGCCCAGGATGGATAGGACACTCTCAAGAATGAAATTCTGAAGGTAATTCTGAAGAGAGGAAAAAGTGCAATTGTCTAAAGAGATCCAGACACAGAGAACTCTCAAACTCCAGCTTTTAAAAAAATGTATCTAGGAGCTAGAAGGAAGACTGGGTGATGGATGAGGAATACAATTACAAAGTCATGGCATGGTCTGACAACAGCCACATCAGTGACACTAGAGCTTAGAACGAGCGGAGGCTGGTGGTGAAAGCCAAGAACAATAGAAGCCTGGCAACTGCCAGGTCCACTGAGACAAGCCTTCCCTCAGGAGAAGGTGGTGGTAGTCCTTCTGGGGGCGACCCCATCAGACCACACCAGGACTAGAGATGGGCTCAGGGGGACTGCCCCACCTAAAGACAAACTCCGCTAGGTGGGAGAGGGTCCACTGGAGGACAGCTCGGCTAGGGAAGAGCCATCACCTCTGCTTGATGACGCTCAGGTGAAGGACTGGGCTTTATAGTTAACTGGGAGGGGTGGGGAGATGGCAGCTGCCTATGACGCTGAAGGGTCTTAGCTAGACTGTGAAAGCAGAACCAGGAGCGACGTGGGGAAGGTGCAAAAGGGCTCAAGGTTGTCAGAAAAAATGTCACCAGCAGTCTGAACTATGCTGTCCCAAGGAGGCCCAGGGAGCGCCCAGAGGGAGGAAGCCTCTCCCCACTTGAGATCTTCAAGAGAAGGACAGATGGCCATTCTTGGGGGAATCTTTTCTTTTCTTTTCTTTCTTTTCTTTTCTTTTTTTTTTTTAAATTTTGGAGGCAATGGAGGTTAAGTGACTTGCCCAGGAGTGTTTGAGGCCAGATTTGCACTCAGGTCCTCCTGATTCCAGGGCCAGTGCTCCATCCACTGCACCACCTAGCTGCCCCAGGGAACCTTTTCTAGATAGTTGGACTACGTGGCTGGGAGTCCTTCCAATTCTGAAATATTGCAATTAATTTCTACTTACAGATCTAGAGGTTGGTGGCTTTGAACACTGTTTCTGGTCTTTGAGATAAGGCCTATGGAAGAGGAAAAAATTACAATCAATCTCGAGGTCACAAGGGAAGGAGCTAAAATGTGATATTCCTGTTTAGATGTAGAGACCTCCGACAAATCATGTCTTACATCTTCATTCCTGAAGACCTTCCCATCCTATTAGTAAGAGCAATAGCTCACATTCATATGGCAAGTCCAAGTTTGCAAAGGGCTTTTCAGATGTTTGATGTGTGATGTCTGAACATCACAACCACCCTAGGAGATAGGTGACCATTTTACAGATGAAGAAACTGAGGCAAATAGGCAGAATGCCTAGCCCAGGATCACGCAGCTAGTCAGTATCTGAGGCTGGATTTGAACCTGGGTCTTCCTGCCAAGTCTACTGACCTGTCCACCACAGCCCCCAAGTGCCTATTCAAACAGAAAAGATGATCATGCTGATTCTTAGTGGACTCTCTGTGTGCACAGTGCTGGCAAATAAGCTTAGATACCGAAATCAGGCCAAACCACCTTACATATGGTCACGGGACACTTTCACTGACATTTGGACAGGGTCATTTGGAAACTGAGAGATGTAGGCATAATAGCCACGAGGAATGAAACATTGATGGTAAGAGGGCTGGATCTGCAGTCCAAAGTCCTGGGTTCGAATCCTGCTTTAGCCTGTGTGACACTGGACACATCATTTAACTTTGCTAGGCCTCAGTTTCCTCATCTTTACAATGAAGGGGTGAGATTAGATGACTGCTAAGGTCTCTCCCAGCTCTGTGGCTGGGATCTCACGAACACTATCAGTAAAATGTGGCATTTTGGTCAAATACAAAAGACCAGTGACTGGTAGCTGTTGCTCACAATCCATCTCCTTCCCTTTGCTAGTCCAGCCTGTGTCTCCTCCCCCTCATGCCTCTGGAGCCTCTTTGACGTCTGCATTGGTTTTTCTCTATCCTCAGCCTGCCTCACCTCTCTGCAGCACTGGCCACAGCTGACTGCTGCCCTCTCCTTCCTGGGGCTTTGGGGCCCCGCCCTCTCCAGGGCCTCCTGCCTCTCTGCCCCCATGCTCAGTATGGCTTGTGGCTCATCACACATCCTTCCTGCAGCCCATCCTCCACACAGCTGTCAGCGGGACATTCCTAAAGCACAGACCTGACCCGTGTAGGGAGGTCCAGGGGCTCTCTCTGGCCCCTGGGATAAGACCCAAACTCCTGTGTTCGTTTGGCTTTTAAAGCCCTTCCCCATCCAGCTTCAGGCTGCTCATTCCTTCCCTCCAGGGTCCTGTGGCAGCCTCCTGGCCCCTCCCCTGTTTCCAGGCCTTTGCACTGGCTGCCCCTCCCAGCTGGAATGCACTCCCTCCCCACCTCCACTCTCCTCAATCCCTACCAGGAGTCTAGTCCTGCTCAGGGCACTTGCTAGGGTTTGCTTGACCCCCGACACTATCTCTGCATGTATTTCCCATTGACTTTTCAGTGGATGGGTTGTTTCCTCCCAATAGAAGGAAAGGACTGTTCTGTTTTGTAAACCTAATACCCCGCATAAAGGCTGGTGTTCAGAAGGCGCCTGATGACTCATGACTGGAACTCAGGGCCAAATGGTGTCCGATGAGGTCTCCAAGGAAGAGGACAGAGAGCAGAGGAGGGACCAGGAGGGAGCACTCAGGAATATCCCTACTAAGCTGGCAGAACCCAAATGGTCAAAGCAAAGGGGGCTGGGAAGGAATGGCCAGAGGGGTAGGAGGAAAGTCAGGAGGGCAGTGGCCCAAGCCAGGCGAGGCCAGAGGGTCTGGGAAGAGGCAACAGTCAATAGAACTAAGAGCTTCAGAGAGCTCAAGAAGGAAAGACCAAGGAAAGCTGTGGGATTTAGGAAGGCGCTGGTAACCCTGGGAAGGAGCTGCTTCAGCCAGAGGGTGGATGCAGTGAAGGGAGGTCAAGGAAAGGCGCCCAAAGCCGTCCCTGCCTTGCTGAGGCCTGGTAGCCACGAGGGACCTCCCTTTCAAATAGAGAGAAAGGGAATGAATGAAATGCTTCCAGGGCTACGGGGCTAGTACCCAGTTGTAGAATCTCTATCTTAAAATTGCTGGAATGTTCAGGCCTTGGCAAGGGACCCGAAACGGGGAAGAGCAAACAACCAGGAGAGAAGAGAGCAGGTCTGCCTTTCTCTTTGCTGGCCTGAGTCACCACAACACACAAGCCAGTGTTTGGTGTCCGTAGACATCAACAAGAAAGGCTGCGGTTCAGAGGTGGGAATTTTAGGCAGCCAGTAATCAAGAGTGCTTGCACACACACAGACACAGTCACAGACACACACACACTCACTTGGTGTTTGGGCATTTTAACTTTCCTTTGGCTGCTAAATACTCCTGGAGCTTTTTTCGCCGCTCTTCTGCAAGACAAGAAAAAAAAGAAAGAAAGAAAGAAAAGAAGAGGGAAAAAAAGATATTAATTTTTAATTTCTCACAGTCTTTTTCAATTCACATAGCTGTCATATTTCTGGGCTCAAACATCATAATGCCCTGTCTTTTATATACAGTAAAAAGAGTATGGATTTGTACTGAGAGGACCCAAGTTCAAATCCTGACCCTGTTATTTATCATCAATGGGACCATGGGCAAGGCAAACCCTTTCTACCTCAGTTTCCTCAGCTGTACAATGAAGGGGGAGGGAAGGTGCAGCAGCAGATGGAATGCATGACCTGGGACCCAGGATGACATGAATTAGAATCCTGCCAGACATAGTAGCTGAATCACCTTGAGCAAATCAATTAACCTCCATTTATCTCAGTTTCCTCATCTGTAAAATGGAGATCATAATAGCACCAACCTCCCAAGGTTGTTGGGAGGGTCAGATGAGATAATACTGCTTAGCACAGTGCCTGTCACATGGTAAGTGCTATGTATGCACTATTATTGGTATTGTTTTGAGGATCGTAAAATGTACAAAATGCTTTGCGTACCTTAAAGCGCTATGTAAATGTTAGCTATCGGCAACAGATTATAATTATTACAGCCTGATGGGTGATTGTGTTACAATGTATCACAGTAATATGATGGCACCAGCAATAGAAATGTATTAATAATATAATTAATATGTGCCTATGATGACACAATGACATGATAATTAAGGTCGGTAATTACTATTTTTGTTGCTGTCACAGAGGACAGGTTCGGGTCCCTCTCGTCTTTGAATGACCCCACCTGGGCCCTACCCATCTTCTGATGGGCAGGAGAGTTTAGGATCGCTGCTTCTTCCCCTCCAGCTGTGCTGATGGGGGGTCACTGACTGGTGCCTGGCCTGGGGCACCCCGTGATCCTGACAGGCACCGGCCAGGGGGACAGAGCCAGGGTGAGGTCAGCCCTGGGGGCGGGGCAGCCGAGTCGATCACGTCCTGACTCGATTTCCCGCATTTTCAGTAAGTGGCCTTGGGGGGGAGGGGGTGGTACTGCAGATTTTGGGTTCAAGCGTTGGAGTGAGTGGGAGGGGACATAAGCACATCTACCAGGCCCCCAGTGGGGCAGAGGGGGAAGAGAGCAGGATTTGGGGGTCAGAGGACCTGGGTTCGAAACCTGATTCTGACATTCCCTGCTTGGGCAAGCCCCAGACTTGACCGCTCTGCACCTCAGTTTCCCCACCTGTAAATGAGGTCTGGGTGGCCCTTCTCCGTCCCGGGGCTGAGCGGGGTGGGGCACACCTCCCCCTCCTCCCCGGCCCGGGCTCGGCTCGCCTGACCAGCGGGCTGACACTCACCTACGGCCGCGGCTTGGGCCGCCGACCCCACCATGACTCCCGGAGCAGCCTCGGTCCGCCGGCGCAGGGGCTCCCAACTCTCCCCAACGCCCACACCATTTTCTCCTCCCTCATTGGCTACCGTTGTTTTGAAACCGACCAATGGAAATCCAGGAAGAGATTCCGGGCTTCTGGAAGCGGACGGGTTGGCGATTGGCTGTCGCGTCCCTTTGGTCTGCCTCTGGGTCTCTGTGATTGGAAGAAGAGGCAGTTCGGGGCGGGGCGAGTTTGGTATAAGGCGGTGTGGACTGTTGATTTCAGTTAACTGCTGGGTGGTGGTGGGGGCGGAGTCTGTGGCTGTGGCGCGTGGAGGCGCGGGAGGGGCCTTCTGGGAATGTGGGGGTCACAAGGACCCTGGGGGGAGTCGGGGCACTTTAGACGTCATGGGAACCTGGTGACCGTGGGGGTCATGAGGACTTTAGGGGGGCATTATAGGGCATGGGGGGCACTAGGGGTGTAGGGGTCATGGAGACTTCCGGGGGCATTAGGGGTGTAGGAGTCAGGAGGACTTCGAGGGACACTAGGGCTGTGGGGGTCATGATGACTTTGAGGGACATTAGATAGTGTAGGGGTCATGGGGACTTCCGGGGGCATCAGGGGTGGAAGGATCATGAGGACTTTGGGGGACACTAGGGCTGTAGGGGTCATTCAGACTGTGGAGGTCATGGGGAAATTAGGGGGTACAGGGTGTGGATACCATAGGTGTTTGGAGGCCTGGGGGATGGCAGGCCTTTTGTGGAGGATGTAGGAATTATGGACCTTCCCCCCCAATTTCTCCAGAGGACCGCCCAAAATTCTTATCTCAAGGCTTCTCAGAGCCATTCAGTCATTTTCAGTCCATCCAACTCTTTGTGACCCCATTTGGGTTTTTTTTTTGGCAGATACTGGAGTGATTTGCCATTTCCTTCTCCATCTCATTTTTCAGATGAAGAAACAGAGGCAAACAGGATGAAGTGACTTGCCCAGGGTCACACAGCTAAGATGTGTCTGAGGTCATATTTGAGATGAGGTTTTTTGACTCCAAGCCTGCTGCTCTATGCACTATGGCGCCACCTGGCTGAGTTTAGGGTCAGCGGGGTCAAAATGTCATTAAAAAATTAGATGCAGTGGGTAAAAATGACAGACTCAGACTCAGCTTGTCACAGGTAGTCTCATTTATGTCTTGCTGAAACTGCAGTTTGAAGCTCTGCTCTGGATCTCCTGAAGAAAGGCATTTTCTAATTTTCTCTCCCATGGTCTCTCCCCACCCCAAAGTAATGCCCTCCCCCCCAAAAAAGCCCTTACACCAGAAAAAGTCCTTCATCGGTTTTATACACACACACACACACACACACACACACACACACACACAAACACATATATGTATACACATATATACATATATACACATATATATACATATATATACATATATACACACATATATACACATATATACATATACACACACAAACACACACACATATATATACACATATATACACATATATATACACACAAACACACACACACACATATATATATAAAATACATGCCTCATTCTGCATTTTAAATCCATCACCTCTGACAGGAGGTCGGGTGGTGGGATTCATCTTCAATACTCTGGACTCAGGCTTTATCATTGTATTAATCAGAGTTTTAAAGTCAAAAGTGGTTTTCTCTATAATGTTGTATACCGTATTCTGGTTGTGCTCACTTCCATCTGCAGCAGGTCATGGAGGACTTCTCAGTTTCCTCGGAAACTGTTCATTTTTGTCATTTCTTATGGCACAATAATATTCCATTACATTCACACACTTCAATTTGTTAGCTATTCCCCAGCAGGAGGGCACCTCCTTAGCTTCCGGCTTTGGTCCGCTATTAAAAGAGCTGCAATAAATCCTTTTGTGGGTTCTTATCCTGAAGAGTAGGCACAGTTTAGTAACTTTGGGGTCAGAGTTCCAAACTGAAGCATTTCAGTTCAGCTAGTATTTATGAAATGCCTACTGTGTGCCGGTCGCTGTGCTGGATACTAGGAGAAGATACAGACAGTGAACCCAATCTCGCTGTTCTAGGAGCGTTTGTTTGGTACATCAAGCGTCGTTTGTTACACACTTTGGGCTTGGAGTTGTTCTAGTTGTTAGGAATGCCAATGCAAAGAATGTCTTCCATTCCACTGTGGGAAAAACGCTTCTTGTGCTAAGAAAATAGTAAACTGCACTAACAATCAGGGAATGATGGATAGATAAGCCCTACTAAGCTGATGGTGAATGAATTTAAGAAATGAACTGTGGCTCCCCCTTTCCCTTCCCCCAACTGTCATCAAGAAAGGGCTTTGTTTTTCCTTCCTTGGGGGTGGGGGTAGTGGTTAGGTAAGAGCTGTGGTAGGTTGAGAATGAACTTAGGCCACACATGGTTGGATAAACTCAGGCAGCTCTGGTAAGGGGCTTGGTAGACTCAGGTAGACAGATGATCTGGGGCTCAGGCACAGACCCTCTGTGAGTGGCTGTACAGAGAGGAGGGGGTTTTTCCAAGGGACATATAGGTGCTCTCCCAACCCAGGTCCTCAGGCTACAGAATGACAGTGTGGGCTACCTTTACCTGGGTTATTGAGTGGGTCAAGGCAAAGATGAGCCACACTCAATGTATATTTTTGTACCTTAGCTAAAGCAACCCACTGGATTAAATTACTACAGACCCCAGGGTTCCATTTGTGCCGGTGGATTGAGCTCCTCCTAGCATAGAGACTAACCCTAGACCTCCCCTTAAACAAAACAAAACAAAACAAAACATTCAAAGGATTTTTATTTCTCAAGTCTGCACGAAACAATCAGTTTGTTCAAGCCCATAGCACAAAATCTTACTCCTAAGCCAGTGACCAGGAAAACTAACACAACAGGTTGTTTATGACAGGTGTAGATTTTTATCAGAGGAGAGAGGCAGAGTTTTCTTAGCCCCCAGCTCAACCCTTCCAACAGGTTGGTCCACTGGGGCTGCTTGCTTTGAACAAGGGGAAGTGACACTGGGTGGAAAAGCTGGGAAAATGGGAGTGGCGTTCAATGAATGAAAAGAATCGCTGCGTAATAGTCTATGGAATTGTAAAGGACTTTATACCTCCTCAAATCTGACCTTTAATTTTATAAGTGAGGAAAATGAGGCCCAGAAAAGGGAAGGGAATTCCCCAAAGTCACATTGGAAGTAAGAGGCAGAGCTGGGATTTCTCCCCAAGTCCCCTAACTTTCAGTGCTCTTTCAGAGGGACTGGGTTTCTTCCCTTTAACATGCTAAGATATTTAGTTGATAACTGGGTAGGTAAGCCTTGAGCTGGACATAGAAGCAGTATGGTATATAGGAGGGAACCCTGGGCTGAGAGTCAAGAGGTGGGGGCCGAGTGACCCTACCAGTCACCTCCCTCTCTGGGCCCCAGTATTCCCACTTTAAAATAAGGGGACCAGACTAAAAGATTTCTAAACTCCTTTCCAGATGTCATTCTCTTGGCTATGGCTGTTTTGGCTATTTTACCTTGGGGTAACCTGAGGAAAGGATGTGTCTTAGCTTATTAAAGGTGAGCTGACCCGACTAACCTCCACTTGTCAGAAAGGGAGCAGAGATGGTGAGATGGGTCCGTGGTCTGACAAGATCACATCGGTGTGTTAGGGAGATTATTCTGGACAGCAGTGTGATAAATGAACTGGAAACAGAACAGACTAGATAGAACCTTCCTCTAGTACAGTTCCATAGGATCATTGACCCCCAGAGTATGAGGGGATCACTGTGGCTATCTGGTTTAACCAACACCCCCTGCTACCAACCTCCGGATGAAGATCTCCAGGAAAGTGAAGCTCATGGTCAAGGCAGACCATTCCATGGTTGTTTAGTACCAATGGTTTGGAAGCTTCTCTTTAGATAAAATCTGTCAGTCTCCTGCAACCCTCACCCTGCCCCACAGTAGTCACTATAGGAGGGCCTCTCGGAGACCTTCCTCCATTTTTGTCTCCACCTAAGATTCCCTATATTTGTTCCTCAAACAAAAGAACACCTCTAACCTGCTCTCTGGAGTCTGAGGTTCCTTCTACAGTCCTATAGGAGCAATTGGTCCACAATGGGGTGCAGTGGACGTGGATATGGACCTCAACTTACCTCGGAGAACTAATTTGAATTCACTATCCTCTGTCTCAACACTAGGCCCCTAATGTAGCTTGATCCATTAAGGATGTATCATCCGTGAATTTAGCTTGACACTTACTGAACTGATTTATATTTTCAGCCTGAATTACTTTTAACTGAATTTTTTTTTTGTTGGTTCAGACCTGTCATTGCATTGGAACTCCAGATTACGAGGGGTGGTAACCCCTCATATTCGCAAAACGCTTCCTACTGCCCTTATGTAACCTTGACTATCAGCACATTTCTGTCTTTTTCATGTATTGCCCAGAAGATAAATACGTGCCTACATTACTAATATAACAAGATAGTACATATACACATACAGAGAAGTACCATGTGAGGTCTGAGGAGGTGGTGCTTTGCCAACAAAAGAGATCAAGGCATACTATAAGGAGGGGTGGCATTTTACTTGAACTTCAAAGGACGGATAATAGGCACATGATGTTCGTGAGAATACAATGGTATGAACAAAGGTCTACAAAGAAGAAGGATGAGGGATTTAATCGAAGAAGTGTATGAATAAAAATGATGAGCTGGTCACCTGGCAAGAGTAAGAGATCATTCGTGGAGAGCTAAGGACTCTATTGGTTATCTTCTCTATGTTAAGAAAAATGGAGGCAGGTCTCTGAGAGGCCCTCCTATAGTGACTAGTGGAGGGTAGGCTGAGGGTTGCAGGAGAGTGACAGATTTTATGGACCATGACCTTTGTTGCTGGAGGGGTATGGCTCGGGGGGGGGGGAGCACATAGCCATGGGGCACGGACAACCGCCCTGGCTGGTCTATTACTCTGAAGGCAGTAATCCCATCTTCCTCCACCATATCTGCCTCACTACCCAGGACAGTCCTCTGCAGTCAGAAGGTGTTTAATTTTGTCAAATTTGGGATAACTAATTCCATGTCTTTAGTACCTATTTGATAAAGTCAGTCTGGTTATTTGTCCTTCAAGTTTAAAAGGCTGGCCCCATTCCCCACCTAGGTGTGCTGGGTTCTCTTCAGGATTTCACTGTCCCTGTGCTGTGTCTAGTGAAGACAGAAGATATTAATGTAGAGCCACCCTTTCTCAGACTAGATTAATTGAGTAGGATATGCATACATTTTGGCATTTAAATTTGCAGCACACAAGTCAAATTAACAGGCACTTATTAAGGACCTACTATGTGCCAGGCCCTGTGGGAGAACCTTCTCTTAAGGAGCTCATGGTCTAATGGGGGAGACAAGGTGCAAAGAAACAGCAGACAGGCTAAGTTGGAGATAATCACAGGGGGAAGATGCCTGCATTAAGGGAGTTTACAAGTTATTTTTTTCTCCTTCCTTCCTTCCTTCCTTCCTTCCTTCCTTCCTTCCTTCCTTCCTTCCTTCCTTCCTTCCTTCCTTCCTTCCTTCCTTCCTTCCTTCCTTCCTTCCTTCCTTCCTTCCTTCCTTTTTCTTTCTTTCTGAGGCAATGGGATTAAATGACTTGCCTAGGATCACACAGCTACTAAGTGTCTGAA